CATCCAAAATCCATAAAATAGTGATACGTTTATTGGGCTAACCTAAATGCAACATGCATTTTCTGCATTTGGGTTGGTCCAATAAAGGTATCACTGTTTTGTGGATTTTGGATGTTGTTATTCTTTTGCACAGTCAGTCTCAAGGATGCTATAAGATCCCTTTGCATACTGATATTCCAGACTAGCACGACTAATACGTCTGAATCCTATGAATGAGAGCCCTCCAAGTCATCCCAACCTTTTTGGAACCAGGACTCAGGGCGACTTAAAAATTAAAATGCATACCATACAGATAAAAATGTACAAAAGATGCTCATTAAAGTTAAATCAATAATTAAACTGTGAAGTCAAAGGCTTCCATAGTTTTTTGTGGGTTTTTCGGGCTATGTGGACATGGTCTAGAAGAGTTATTCCTTTATTCTAGAACACAGCCACATAGCGTGAAAAAACCACAAAAAAAGTAATAATTAAATTATCGATAATATCAGAAGCAATTTAAAACATGCATCAAGAAAAGCAGTTTTTAAAAAAACACAGTGTGCTATTCAGAGCCCTTCAGTTCTTTGGAGCATGCTAGAATAGAAATGGGCAGCAAAGAGGGGACTACTCTTACCTCCCTAGGAAGGCAGCCCCAGACCCTGGGAGCAACCACCAAGGAGGCCCTGTCTCCAAACATGAGCCAGGCTTGCTGCTAGGCTCTGGGACACCTTTCCTAAGGTAAAAATGATACTGATTCCACCTCAGATTAGGAAGAACCTCCTGGCAGTAAGAGCTGTGGAAAATGCTACCTCGGAGCCTCCTTCTTTGGAGGTTTTTAAACAAGAGGCTGGATGGCCATCTGTTAGGAAGGCTTTAATTGTGTCTTCCAGAAATGCAGAACTGGGTTGGACTGGATGGCCCTTGGGGGTCTCTTCCAATTCTAGGATTCTATGATTCTATGACCATTTCTAACTGGCATTGCAGGCTTTTTTTCCAATTTATTCCAATAGAGTTTGGGGAGCTGATTGTTTCATAGTCTGCAACCACTTCACAGAGCCATACTGCCTGAGATCTAGTGCTTGGGTTTGCAAGGAGATTCTCAGAGCTGTCCGAAATGTAACTTTTCAAAGAAGTTGGCAGCATGAGCTTTCGTAGATTTGAGTCTTTTTCCCCAGATGCATTTGGCAGCTTCCTGCTATGTGGCTCTCCTCCACAAAGGTGGCTTTCTGCAGGAACATCTCCAACCACTGCTGTCTTCTTCTCCCCCTTCCAACCCAGTAGGTTAAATGCATAGAAAGGAAGAACTCTGCCAAGCAGAGGGAGGAAAGAGATGTTTGGGGTTTTCACCTTGAGCCAAAGTTGCAGACAGTGCCACGGCTGGCAGAAGAATTGGCCGAGCATCTTGGAAGAGATGCCAGGGGTGATGGTTGCAAGATGCCAACTCAATGCTAGCAGAGAGGATTTCAGCTGTTTACAGCTATATACTGTATTTTATTATGTACTCACTTGTATTTTTCTGATGAACTTATCTTTGGAGTTTATCACACGGAGGCAAATCCCATGCAGAAATGGGATTTTCAAATCCGCTAAACACCCGCAAATGTGGGTTGTTCTTCAGACGTATTGGGAGAAAGAAAAATAACTCAAACAGAAAGTCGACAAAAACCACTCCTTTCTACTTTCAGAATTTCCCAAAAGTAAAAAGGAGCGGGTTTTGTCGACTTTCTATTCAGGTTATTTTCACGTTATTTCTCTTTCACACAAACGTTGTCTGAAAAACAACCCACATTTGCAGGTTTTTTCTACTTTCTGTTCGGGTTGACCCCAAACGTCATGTGAAAAACAACCCACAAAAGTGGGCTGTTTTCACTTTAAATCTAGTTTCTGCACAGGATTCGTCCCGTGTGATAAACTCCTTTGTTAAAATGCCTTATTGGTTTGCAAGATAGTTGTAGAACTCTGAGCAAGACAAAGGCTTAAAATTGTACTTTACTAGCAAAGAAACCCTTGACTGAATGTACATTTCAGTTCATTTGCCTGTTATGCTGAAAATAAGGATAAAACCCTTTCAACATTTGCATTCTGTCCTCAAACATCCCTTTGCCTGACACATTTTCTTTTTCCTCTCCGAGAAATAAACACTCCCTAAGCTCTGGGTGCGAGCTTTGTCTGCTGCTGCTCCTAGGAAAAAAGAACTTTAGAAGGATCCATCCTATTCCCCTGTTTGGAAGAGAGGACAGGATGCATTTCTTGAAGGGGAACAGCAAACATTCCTCTTGGTCAGAAGGTTGAAATGTAGGACATGTCCTGGAAAAGGTGGCATGGAGGTGTGTGGGGTATATATACACGGTGTGACCTTTGTGAACAATACACAGATTTACATGCTAATCCTCTCAACCATGGGTCACTCAATATATATATCCCACACACCTCCATGCCATCATTCTCTGAAGATGCCAGCCACAGATGCTGGCGAAACGTCAGAAAGAAACTCTTCTAGAACATGGCCACACAGCCCGAAAAACCCACAAAAACCTATTGCAGAGAGGGTTTGCATTGTCGTCCTCTGAAGCTGAGAGAGTGTGACATGCCTAAGGTCACCCAGTAGGTTTACATGGCCAAGCTGGGATTCGAACCCATAGTTCTAGGCTCAAACCATTACGCCATCCTGGCTCAACAATAGCTCACCAATATGGACATCACACCAGGGCCAAAAGAGCACAACCACTAATCTAAGGGAATTTATATGTGCATAAAATGACAATAAGATAACAGGTCCACCTTTGGCCATGAAGTTCATGAGTGACCCTAGGCACATCACTGGGTGGAATCTTGGACTGCATCTGCACTGCAGAAATAATGCAGTTTAACCCCATTTTGTCATGGTTCCATCCTATAAAATCCTGGGCTTTGCAGTATTCAGAGCCAATGGGGCTTTGAATGTTTGCAACATGTATAGTGTGCATTTTGGCTAGCCCAATGCAGGTCTCACTGCTTGGTGGATTTTTGATGTTCCTGGGATATGCAGTTTGTTGGGGTACCAGAGCTCCAAGAAGGCTAAATATCTCACAAAACTACATTTTCTAGAATTCCATAGCACTGAGCCACGATGTGCCATTGTGCATGCGCCTGCAGTGTGCCTTTGATGGCACATCTTTGCCTTTGAGCATAAGCATAAGGCAACCGTTGTGTCTTCCATCTCACAAAGAGTATTGGTGGGAAAGGAGGCAGGAAGAGTCATAATGCACTCTGCAGGTTAAAAGTGCCATATAAATGATATGTAGCGGCAAGTGAAGCTCTTAAACAGCAACACATTGCAGTGTGCCACAACTGGTACAAGAGCACCGCATAAATATAAATTAAACGCCACTATTACAGTAAAGCTATCACGGTTGTTTATATGGGGGAGTGAGAGGCATGTTTTGCTCTCCACTGCCTTTTAATTTAATTTTAATATCAGCCCGGACCGGGTGCTCAGGCAGAGAGGACTCTGTAAAGGTTAACACAGTCCTCAGGCATGGTTGGGATGGCTGTTGACCGTAAACCCTCCCAGATCTACCAAGGAGAAGGACGTTGGTCTGGAAGGCCTTTGCTGACACCTTCTTTTCTGTGGAAAGACAACTCAAAAGTGGGCAAGGTTATCTGGAAGTTAATCTGTGGTGTGATGCTTCTGACGTTCCTTCCTCTTGTTTCTGCTGAGCAGAATGGGACCTCCAGAGAGCACCTATCTCACTGCTGACACCCATTGATTTGAATTCCCCTTGCAATGGCACCTTGTTTGTTTGTTTGTTTATAGCCCTCTCAATCACAAGGAATCCGGGCAGGTTACAGCAATATAAAATACATAGAATACAATAAAATTCAATATTAAGAGTTGCATGTTTCCAGATTTAGTCACCAATATACAATTTTAACCACCAACATACAATACCACTTTACATATATTTTTTTCTATTTTTGTTGCTTGTTTTAGGATGGGATGCCCATTTGGTTAGAATTTAAGTTGTGAAATTGGGAAATTTTAATAATTCATAGATATACAGTTTTGGAACAGGTGGTCCGATTTATAGCATCTCTATTAGCCTTGCTGGGATTCCACTTTCTCTTTCTCTCTCTGATGCCACAGAGATGTTCATTTTCCTTCTCCAACCCTGCTGAGGGGACTTGACTGAGAAAAGGTTTGTGAAAGAGGAGCATGAGTGCTTTCAAAGGAAAGGCTTTGTTCCAGTGGTTCCCAGACTTTGGTCCTCCAGGTCTTTTGGAGTCCATCTCCCAGAATCCTTGAAGACTGACCAAACTGGCTGTGGTTTCTGGGAGCTGAAGTCCAAAATATTTGGAGGACCAAAGTTTGGGAATCACTGTTTTATTCCAAGCAAGAAATCTCCATTAGCAAAAGGTAGTTCTCTTCATCAATTAGAGACAACAGTCAAGAAATCAGAAGAGCAGGACTTAGGACCTTATCACACGGGGTCCAATGCAGACAGAATCCAAACGAA